GGTTAATTTTTATCTTCCCATAAGTTCTGATAGCTTAGAAATATCATATCAGAAATAAATTTGGCCAGAGATAGTGAACAGAAAGCAAACAAGCAATTATCATAGTATTGCAAGCAATCCAAGTACCCTACCGGTAAGAACCCCATTAAAATTCTGAAGGGCCATTGGCCATTCAGTCTTATGTTTGAAGTTTTGAAAAATAAATACCCTAAGAAATAAAGAACTTATAGTGAAAAGGCCTAAAAACTAGAATCAGAAATCTTGACGAGGTTGCTGACGTTTGTTAAGTATGAAAGTTCTCAATATACTCCCTATAGTCACGATTAAAATGACGTGTATAATTTCCATTCTACCATCTATTCATATTTTAAGTTTCATAAAAAATTTCATCTTTTTTTGACTAAACACAAATCTTGTTATATTTGCCATGTTTTAAGCCCATTTGTTGCCATGGCAACCTTTTTTTTTTCAAAATAGGTGAAAAGAAAAAGACATGAATAATCTCCATAATGCCATCTACCCATATTTCAAGTTTCATAAAAATCTTTTCAATACTCTTGCATTATCACTAGATCCAGTTTATGTGTTAAATTTGCCATATTTTCATTCTATTTGTTGCCATAGCAACCAGAATTTTCAACATAGGAAAAAAAGAAAAAGACGTGCATAATCTCCATAATGCCATCTACCCATATTTCAAGTTTCATAAAAATCTTTTCAATACTCTTGCATTATCACTAGATCCAGTTTATGTGTTAAATTTGCCATATTTTCAGTCTATTTGTTGCCATAGCAACCAGAATTTTCAACATAGGAAAAAAAGAAAAAGACGTGCATAATCTCCATACTGCCATCTATCCATATATCAAGTTTCATAAAAATATTTTAGGTACTTTTGGCGTTATCGCGGGATCCAGTTTTGTGGACAGACAGACTGACGGACGGAGGGTAAACCTAAAGTCCCCTCCGGTAAACTGGTAGGGGACTAATAATTGGAATTCTTCTAAGTCCATGGGACATTACTCTGTCAAAAATTGCTTCATTGCAACCTAAAACAGAACCTGACCTACATATTCTTATGATAAATCTGTATACCAAATTTCATTTCAGTAAGTGTAATCTCTGCAAGGAAAATGAATGGAAACTGCAAATAATTAAATTTGTTTTAAGTCCAAGGGGCTTAACTCTGTCAAAATTTGCTCGATCATACCCAAAACAAAACTTTATCAAGATATTGTTATGATAAATCTCTATACCAAATTTCATTTCAGTTTGTTCAACCTCTGGGAAGAAAATGAACGGAAACTGTTGTTGGACCAACAGATAGACAGACTGAGAGACCGACAGACAGCAGCAAAGCAATATACCCTCCATTCTTGACTTTTAAGGGGGACATGCCCTGAAAGTACTAGAAGCAAGCATAATATAACAGTCTGAATAAAACATTTTTGAATGTTTATATGTATGATGAGTAGTTATTATAGTGAATAAAGGCAATTTATCACATGCCCTTGCAGCTTTTATGACTCTAGCACAGAATATTTTGATGTGATGTCATCTGCATTATACAAGATGTCCGAAATGTTAGCGTTATACTATAAGCACGTAAATAAAAGTGGCTAATTTCTACATTCGACCAGGGTCTTTCAAATAGAATGGTCTGGAGACAGACCAATTTTACGAAAAATGCTGTCTCGGTTGAGTCACTGCATCACTAAGTTATCTACCGTGATATGGCATAGCACACCACCATTCCAAAATCAAATTATAAGATAATGTTTTGTTAAATCAATCAAAAAATTACTAAAAACTAACTCTGACTACATTATATTATCAGTTTTTATTTTAAAAGTAACAATTTTATAGATTTGCAATGAAATTAGAAATTTTTCGTTCCAGGTGTCAAGGTAAAAATATACTGCTCATATTTGAAAATAGGTCCGAGTTTCATTGGCTTCTTTTAAATCTATGCATTGTTCAATGACAAAATAGAAATTGATTTTACAGAGAAAATATGTTACTTAATCGTATCATGTAAAAATATTATAATAGTATACGATGTTATTTGCAAATATTTGATGTTTAATTTGGTGCATTTTCAAAATGGCGCCGATTATCGGAAAAATATTCTGAACAAACAATCTATGATTTTTAACAAAGATGGCTTTAAAAAACATCATTTCCTGAAATATTTATCCTTTTTTCAAAAGTTTAAAGATTTTTTAATAACATCATGTCATTAAAATTTTCATTTTTGCTCTTGTATTTAATATTCGCCCTTTTCTTGAACACTTACATAATTTGCTTATAGCAAAGTTTAACTATACCGATTTATACTGAGACATGTTTAATTGTAGCGAGAAGGGTTTACATAGCGTGTTTCCAGACCATTCTATTTGAAAGACCCTGATTCAACAGTTTATATTTGGATATGTGATAAATAGAATATTATATTTGCGTAGCTACAATTACTAAATTTATTGCACTCATTGAATAGAATAATGTTATGCTTGCCAAAGGCATGCATAGTATAATTTAATTCAACTCTTTCAAAAAAATTCAGTAATGAACCCACATTCCTTTTTAATTGTTTATATTTATTATTTGCTGCAAAAATTATTGTTAACTTTGAATTTTCAACAAGAATCATGGCCATTCTGGGGACCACACTAGACTCTTTCTTACTTCTAAGGTCGAACAAATTGAAGAAAGAAGAGCACTGCAGTAAACAAATTCCTTGAACTCATTATTGTCTTAACTTAAATTATATTTCAAATTTCATATTTGACATTGATAAATATCATACTGTTAAAAGCATATCCATATTAGTCTGGTATCAACATTTTTCCGTATTATCCATGCAGCCATAGAAAGGTAAAAAAAAAACAACAAAAAACATGGCAATGCCATGAAACCAGGTTTTCAATTATCACCATTGTAGATAAATATGTTGTATTTGAAAAACAAATACAAGCAACAAACAATGTAAGTATGTGCAATGTAAAACATGAATAATGTAGGAGAATTGCCACCGAGTAGTGTTCACTATATATTCTGTATAAGGAAAAAAAAACAAAGGGCCATAATTAGGTCAAATATTATCCAATCACAAAACCCTGACAATATGCGCCAGGGCACTTGATGACAAAGCTTCTGTGAAAGTTTAAATAAAATCCGAGAATTGTAGAAGGAGTTCAGCACAGAAGAAATTGTTCACTATAAATTCTATATAAGGGGCAATAATTAGGTCAAATAGTATCAAATCGCAAAACCCCGACAATATGCCCCAGGGCACTTGGTGACAAAGGTTCTGTGAAAGTTTTGTCAAAATCTGTGGAGAAATGTAGGAGGAGTTGCACACAGAAGAAATTGTTCACTATATATTCTTAATAAGGAAAAAAAAACAAAGGGCCATAATTAGGTCAAATATTATCCAATCACAAAACCCTGACAATATGCCCAAGGGCACTTGATGACAAAGCTTCTGTGAAAGTTTGGTCAAAATCTGTTGAGAAATGAAAGAGGAGTTGCGCACAGAAGAAATTGTTCACTATATATTCTATATTAGGAAAAAAAACAAAGGACCATAATTAGGTCAAATATTATCCAATCAGAAAACCCTGACAAAATGCCCAAGGGCACTTGATGACAAAGCTTCTGTAAAAGTTTGGTCAAAATCTGTTGAGAAATGTAGGAGGAGTTGCGCACAGAAGAAATTGTTCACTATATATTCTATATAAGAAAAAAAACAAAGGGCCATATTTAGGTCAAATATAATCCAATTGCAAAACCCCGACAATATGCGCCAGGGCACTTGATGACAAAGTTTCTGTGAAAGTTTGGTCAAAATCCGTTGAGAAATGTAGAAGGAGTTGCGCACAGAAGAAATTGTTTACGCCCGCCCGCCCGCCCGCCTGCCCGCCGACATACCTCAATCTAATAACCAGTTTTTCGTTAAAAATTTTGCCTAAAAAATCTTCCATTGGCATAATTTAATTTTTTCAACACAAGTCTTAATCCAGTTTACTCAGTTCATTATGTTCATTACACCTGTGACCCCAATTTGTTAACACACATCGATTGCATCAGACACTATGGACACTCCAGACGCTACGTCACTTGACACCTGCATATATACATGTAATCAGAGGTGTGTAGAGTTTGTTTGAAGAGTACTGACTACTGGATTATAATTGGACTTAATTATTTTGTCTCTCCGGGTGTTAAAACAGGCATTATTTATCTGATTAACGGACAATTAAAAGGTGTGAAAGTCTTTAAAATCAGACAAAGCAATGCATTGGGACCAGATAATTAAGGTCGCTTGTCACATATGACAGGGAGTCGTATAATTCAGACCATTTATATAGGAAAATACGTCTGGAGGACTGAAACAAGGTCGGATAAGACAAGGAATCGTTGAAATCAGGGGGTCGATAAGGCAGTCTCGACTGTAATTAGCACTTGGTCTCCTTGTTTCCTACTTAACAAACCACACTAATATCAGATCTTTCTCGACATTCATACACAAAAATCAAAACATTGAAACGAAAAAGACTGATATTCTCTTTAAAAGGGAGTCCTTCAATCAATGGAGCAGTTACATCCCAGGCAAGAAAAGGGACATTATTTACATACCCCTAAGTATGACCCTGGCTATAATTCAGTTTCTTGTGTGTATCCTATCACACTGTCCCCTCAAGACTTTTGAAAAACTTCAAACAATGGCCAAGTTACAATACAAACATTATGGTTAGATGGATAAAGGCACATGGACTAAAGCCATCAAGCTGTCAACTAATCAAACGAGCTAACAGCAGGTCAGCATGTAACTACTGAAGTCACATCATACTCCTTTTTTTTGGTTGTAGGTCCAATTATTAGATATCTACATACTAAGATGCTGCTCAATGAACGACTAACCTTAAAATAGTCTACAAATTTAAAACAAGAATATTTTTTAAAATGCTAACTACATTTCTCAGAGTTAGTCTATTATGCTTAAAATCAACTGTAGTTATCATTTATAAGTTTAACTGAGTAATTTATAAAGTACATTAACATAGAATTTATTTTCATGTTGACCGCTGAATTACTAAAGATACCTTTATCCATTTTTAAGACATTCATATCATCCTTTGTGTCCTTTTCACCTTCAGTCTCTGGAGTTTGAGGAATTTTTATTTCACCTTCCTTTTCTATCTCAGTGTCTACTTTCTCTTGGTTCATGTCACTTCCAACATCACTGACTTTTGTTGTCAGTTTTTCAACTTTTGTTGTGCTCTCCTTATAACTTTTCATAAATGCTGACTTTGGAGAAGACTTGGAATCTGGAATCAATTGCTGACTTTTCTCAACTTTTTCTTTCATCTGTAAAAGATAAAAGAAATTTGAAAAAAATTATCTTTAGCAAAAACATTTAACTCAAATATGCCGATAATTAACTCAAATAGTCCCTATAAGTACTGGTTGTCTGAAACATGAAAATAATTTTTCTTTGTAGGTGAAAGTGAATTGGTCAATAATAGAAGGTCTGTAAAACAATAAATAATAATTACAGTGATAGTATTTAGTATAACACGTAACAACAAACCGCCAAATAATTAAACATCAATTGTAAAGTACATGATCTGATATTACATACACTCATACAGCAGATCATAATTTAATCTTTGAGGGTAAACCATTTAAAATAAGTCAGTTTTTTTATTTTGATCTTGATATTGATCAATCATGGGGCCCGCACTGTGTCTCATCAATTTAAAGGAAATACTTAAAATTGTAAGTTACTTAGCAATCAGCCTTAGCTTCATAATGGAGGCCAAAACTTATTGGTAAGTATATTTGATAGTAGTTATTACAAAACAACTTCTGTCAAATATGTAAGATATATTTTTTATGTGTTTTAAGCACTGAATTTCTGTGATCATTTACTTTTCCAACATACTGGCATACGAGCAGTTCCCGTACAGAAGCAATACCCGTATTTTTCATTTAAATGCTTGATTTTTACTTGCATTCTTCAAAAATTCATTTTAAATCAAGCAGATGCATAAACGAGACAAAATCTAAGTGTCAGTTCTGCAGTACGTATAAAAAGTCTCATTTTAAATCAATTTCACCTGTGCATTGTCAAAACGTGACCATGTTTTCTCTGGGGGTTCCGTTATTGCGCGCATGCGCAAAAATACTGACACGTGAGGCCTGTTAAAGGGGTTTCCACTGAGACCACCTGTTTACAGATAAGTAGGCAATGTGATGAAAACTTGTTTAATTATCAGAATTTTGGCCAATATATATTACTATATTATTAAATAATTTTATGGGTTTGAAATATCATGCATACAAGCATGCCATTGCATGTGAATGCGTTGGGGGTACAGGTAATAGATACCAGCGTTTAGTCTACGCTCTATGTCCTGAATTACATCTATTTATCTATCAGATAATGGTCTGTTCAACAATTATAAATGAAAAATAGGTCCGATATAACAAACGTGTATAATTATAATGGGTTAAATCTTATGTACGGGAACTACTTCTCTTCATACAAAAAATGGATAATTTCGGTACACCATATGAGGCCTCATAACTAAGGGTTATTCTATGTTTAGAACATGATGGAATTTCAATGATTTGTGAGACGAGCTGAATATTGATGTGTAACATTCAAATTGTGGTGAGTGAGCGTAATAAAAAATAATGTTTAAGTTACTACGATTTTTGTACGGGAACTGCTCGCATGCCATTAAAGTTCTGATTTGTGTACCTGAGAATCTGTAGGATGTGTTAGCATTCCACTCCCTTGTTCCCCTTGCAGATACTTGCTACCAACATCTGATGTAGGTGTTGGACTAGGTGAGTTCTGAATTCTTGGTTCTGATTTTTCAATTTGACTCACACCTTTACCATTCTCTGTTGAACCTTGCTGAGAGCTGCAACTAGGATCTGTTTCTTCTGTACGATTGTTTTCCATTGCATCTCTTTTATCCTTTGTTTCAGGGTTGTCACTTGTTTCTGGTACTTCTGTTGAATTACTTTCTAGGCCACTGCTACTGTCTCCTTTTGCTTTATCAGCAGCTATCAAAATTAATCCACATTACACAAAACAGGAAGTAAATAAATGTTTTCAAAAAACATGCTCATAATTATATTTTGAAGTATGAAATGGATTGATTTCCCTATCCAAGCTATTTTTTCTATATAAAGAGCATGGGCACATTTTAAATTGTAAATAAAGTGAAATCTACACATTTTTACATAAAATATCATTGTAAAGTTAATAAAATAATACTCCACTTAATAATTAAACAACATTAAGAAACCTACCCATAGAAAATCCATGCACGTAAAAAGTTTATCTCCATAAAAAGTTCATGTCATTGACAATAGGTCCGACTAAAATAAAGTCATTTATATAAGAATTTGAATTGAATTGATTGTTGTTTCTTTCTAAATTTAAAACAAAAACAAAACTGTGAAACAAATTATACACAATTTTCTTTACCAACTACTAGATGTATTGTTGAATCCTTGCCAATCCCATGAGATAGCAATGTATCAGTCTTCAATAACTTCTTTCCAGCCATTACCAACCTCTGATTCTCACAGGAATACCCTGTTGTCTCTTCAATTTTCAACATAACTACTTCAACAGTGTCATTTAAGGCTACAGATACACTGAAACCGTCTCCAGTAAGCATCTTCACATTTACTTCTATCTCTGGAAATAAATACATTTAAATAAATACAATTAAATGTAGTAGTTGTAATAAAAAGAATATTACACTATATAATATAAAACATATATGAAAAAAACATAAAAAGGACCATAATAAGGTCAAACCTTATGGAATCACTAAACTGCTACAAAAGGCGCAAGGGCACTTGATGACAAATTTTCTGTAAAAAGTTGGTCAAAACCCCATGCAAATGAAGGTTGAGTTTTGCATAGAAAGCATTGTTCAATGTATATTCCATATAAGTAAACAAGAAGGCCATGATGGCCCTAGATCGCTTCCCTGACCAATCAACCACATCCACACAATGTCTTAAACAGGCATCCTTATGGAAGGGATTACCCGCCAGTTCACCTATTATGCTTTATGACATTCCAATTTCCGTTTTTATTTGTTTGGGTCGTCAGACCAAACAAATAATGGTAGCGAAATTTCAGAGTCTAATGTTGTTAATTGCAAATGCCGAAAGTAGTCCACTTTTTTGAAGCGGTTACTTCCCTTTTGTATGTACACTAAAGCCGAAAAATTCAGGGGAGATCACTGCGTAAAGATGGTCAAAGACAGGCGCATCAATTTTCAAGCAAAGTAATTCCCGAATGGTCGAAGATTTCTAATATTGTTTTATTGTATTTTCTGATCGAAAATAACTAAATGCAAAGCGGACATTCAATCTCTGACACAGAAGTTTACGACAAACCTAACAACAAGTAGTTCTCAAAACAGCTGAAAACTAGCGATTTAAAAGAAAGAAATATTTTATTTTGTTACAAGTATCCAACAAATTACAACGCATTTAAAGTTAAACATGTAGCGTTGGCTTATAGAATTGTCAATAAATGCACAATCACAAATTACGCAGATGAATATGATTTTATCAATGAAAAGACTATTTATTACCGAATACTTCACAAACCGAGTAGTGGAATATATAGATTCTACATGTCGGACTGTTTGGGCGAGAGGATTTTCGCTAAAATATTTACTTCAATTTTAAACAACAGGTTTACTCGAACAAAATACCTCGAAATTAATAAGGATTACAAAACCGAAATGCAAAGGAAGTTCTAAATTTAGAATAAGATGATATTATTCAAACTTTCTGTGTATAACTTCTCCGTGGTACAGTGGTAACGCGCTCGCTAAGTGAGTGAGAGGTCTCGAGTTCGAATCCCAGTCGAGGAAACTTTTTTTTTTGTTAAATTCTTTTTTAAGTGTTTTTGTTAAGGAAGTAGCCATGATATGCAAGGATAAAGTGTGGCTGTCGTAAAAAAAGAACATAAATGATTTTTTGATGCAACCCTAGTTATGCAGAATTCCGTATGTATCAAACTCTGGTGCCTTGCAAAATGAATTATAATACATAAAAATAAACCTATACAGGAAAATGCATACTGATATACAGTACGATTTAGATTGCAAAGATCAGAAAATACCACAGAACTTGCAGCCCTTTGATTCTTTATAAATATAAATGCTTATAGTAAGCTCCAGGATTATTTACATCTGTGTTAAACAACAGTTAAAGTCGTAACAAGCCCTAATTTAGAATAATATGGTTTTCTTCAGCCCGTTCACATATAAATTCACCGTGGCTGAAGGGTTTTCGGGCTCGCTTAGGAAGCGAGAGGTCTCGAGTTCAAATCCCAGTAAAGGTAACTCATTTTTTTTTCAAATTGTAAAAGTCAAATAAACATTGGATTGAATATCAGTGTCGCAATTAGTCTTATAGCCAATTTACTACAATTAAAACGCTGGAAAGCATTGGTGGCACTATACATATAATCTCACAACCTGCACCTTTCTTACATTCTGAGACCCAAACAAATTCAGCGCCTTCTGTGCTTTGATTACTTTTGCAACAGTGAATTTGATGTTAGATTTTGGTTATTTTCAAGTGAATTTCGTATCTATATAATTATAAAGGTACATGTATTTTGAAATATATCTTTGTTATACGTTAATTTTATTTTTATTCAAGTTTTTCTTGTTTCATTCTGAAAATTGGTATGATTTCCCTTAAAATATATTTAATACATTTAATTCAAAATCACACATTAAAATCAACATTAGGTATTCAGTGTAATGACGCTACCGAATATGTGTTAATTTTTTTGTAATAGAATGTTCAACGTTTAATCAAAACAATCAAAACATCATTCACAGTATAAAATGCTGTTTAACATTGACTCATTAAAACAAAATCGTCTTCATAACAATGTTGACGTTATCAAAAAACGAAGCAGGGAACCAATTTTTGTAGTGCGTTTTCTTACGACAGAGGTCGCTGGTAAAATATTACTGATCCCTTTCGGTGCAGACGTAAAAATCACCTCATGGAAAAGATCCGATCAAACATCGTGATACCCTGCCTTGCAAAAAGCTGTTACTAGCTCTATATACAACAATAACGAAGGTTACACGATAAAGAATCAAGTATTTATTATTGATTATAATTTATTATTAACCTCCACATGATATGATTAGTTTTCGTAGTATATCAGATTTTTGAACACCGGTCAGGGAGCGGTTATTATTTTTTACATTTTTACAAGTTATTCCCCGTTGATTTAAAGGGCCAATTCTAGCGCAAAAACCTAATATTTTTTTAATTCTAACACTATCGGAAATTTTCCTATATAGACAAAGAAGGTTGGAAGCGTGCATTATTCTACAATGCACTCGCCGTTCTTATTATCTTCCTGTGTATTTTCACATTGAGGGCACCATTTTTTAAAAAAAAATCTGATAAATAAAAACAATTTTTTGTCGAATTTTGTTGTGAAAACTATCTAGAATGAAAGAAAATGGTCTAACTAAGAAAATTAATCCGAACATCAATATTTTTAATTCAGTCCTTAACGTTGTAGAGGCGTTTAAAGTGTTGTTTATGTGACGTCACAATGTAGCGCCATAACAGCACATGCAAAACAATCAAATCAAGTACACTATTTTAATGTCCCAAACGAGTTAAGTTTTACATTTATTTCACTTTTAATAATTTGTATTTTGCTTGAAAAATTATAGAGTGAAATAAAATAAACAAACAAAGTTTTATCAACGTTTTCAAAATTCGTTATTCTCAAAATGTTTCTACACACGGTAGATTTAACGACATTTTTTTTCAACCCACTGGAACAGCCTTTAAAGAACGTTTCTATTGGAAACTCTGAGACGAAAACAAATTAAACCACCAAACATTAAGTCCAACTTTAAAATAATAATTATATTTTTTCTTGACGTGTTAGAATGGAAATAGATATTAATTCTTCGTGCATTATTGTATAAATAATGCAAGGTTTTCGTTCAAATGCTTTGTAATTAATCACTCAGGCCTATCGGCCTTCGTGATTATATTACTACGCATTTGAACTCAAACCGTGCATTATTCTACAACAATACACTCAGAATTGATATCTATTACCTAATTATACTTCGAAACGAAACTCTCAGTGTGCTATGCATAATACATAATACACAATGTCAGCATGCGACTAAAGTTACCATGATTTTTGTAAAATGAATACTGAAACACTGTAAGAATAAAATGTGTGTCAAATTATTTAAGAAAGCAAATTCAAACAAGAGGGCCATGATAGCCCTGAGTCGCTCACCAGAAACAACTGCTTTTCAGTGTTGGAATGTCAATATATATTCTAATATTAAATTTGAGCATAGAATATGTTTAAAACATAATTTGAAGAAATGCCATGACTTGGGGCATTTAAGCTTTAGCTTAAACAAGGCTAATCAAATTAATATAAGCAAACTTGATAAAAGACTACCTAAGAATGCTACAAAGTTTGGTGATCATCTATCAATTATTCCAGTAGGAAATGATGTTCGAATGTTTTTTCTATGTTAGCTTTAGTGGCCCCTAAATGGGGCTAATCAAATTAATATAAGCAAACTTGATAAAAGAGTACCCAAGAATGCTACAAACAAAGTTTGGTGATCATCCATCAATTAGTTCTGTAGAAGAAGATATCTAAAGGTTTTTCTATTTTTAGCTATAGAGACCCGTAAAAGGGGCTAATCAAATTAATATCAGCAAACTTGATAAAAGACTACCAAAGAATGCTACAGACAAAGTTTGGTGATCATCCATCAATTAGTTCTATGAAAATAGACATTTAAAGGTATTTCTATTTTTAGCTTTTGCGGCCCCTAAAAGGGGCCAATCAAAATAATATCAGCAAACTTGATAAAGGACTACGTAAGAATGCTACAGACAAAGTTTGGTGATCATCCATCAATTTGATCTCTAGAAATAGACATTTAACGGTATTTCTATTTTAAGCTTTAGTGGCCCCTTAAAGGGGCCAATCAAATTAATATGAGCAAACTTGATAAAACACTACTCGAGAAAGCTACCAACAAATTTTGGTGATCATCCATCAATTAGTTCTGTAGGAAAAGATGTTTAAAGGTTCTTCTATTTTTAGCACTGCTGACCCCTAAAAGGGGCCAATTGGAATGACATGAGCAAATTCAAGTGTGACTGTCACAAGGATGCTACAGACTAAATTTGAAGTAAATCTGCTTAGTAGTTTCAGAGGAGAAGACGATTGTTGACGCATGACGACGGACGCTGGAGCATCCCCCTTTGATACTAATAGCTCACCCTGAGCCTTCGGCTCTCAGGTGAGCTAATAAAGGGAAAATATTTAAAAGCCAGCAAATTAAATATCCAATTATAGTTTGCATGTTTACAGCCTTAGAACTGAAATGTAAATTGAATGTTCGCATATTTCAATAAGAACTCGAGTTACGTAAGCAAGTACAACATCTTAATATTGCATAATGATTACAACGTATTATAATAATGTTTTCATATTAATAACAATATTTTCATAATACATGTAATAATAATGTCTTCCTATCAATAAGAATGTCTTCAAAATAATAAGAATGTCTTCATATTAATAACAATGTATTCATATTAATTAGAGTGGCGGATAATCCCTTCCATACATCCTGACCAAGT